CGGGACTGAGAGCTGGTCCCATGCGGCCTGAGCCTATAAATTTCGTCGGTGCTACAAACTGGCTTCTAAGTCCCAACCTGTATCACCGTAGCGTGTCCTCAAATAAACTTGCTCTGCGTGTTCTCTGCGTATTCAAGCTCCACACAGTCTCCAGAAAAACACATTTATTATTTTTTTAAAGATTTTATTAATGTAGTTGAGAGAGGGAGGAGGACAGAAGCAGAGGGAGAAGCAGACTCCCACTGAGCGGGGAGGCCTACTTGGGGCTCGATCCCGGGACCCTGAGATCATGATCTGAGCCCGAGGCAGATGCTTAACTGACTGAGCCACCAGGTGCCCCTAGACCAACACATTTGGATGCCAATGTCCCCTTTTAGCGTCAGGGCCCTTCCTGCTCCTGGGTCACCCCACAGTAACAGGTGTCGGAAGCGGAGCCCCCAGTCACCCTCACTGGGATTCGAGAGAGGAAAGCTGAGAACCTTTTGGCTCCCGCAGCCAGACAGGGCAGTAAGGAAAGCCGCAGCAGCCTTTGGGGCAGCTGCAGCTGTTGGGATCTGGGGTTGGGGCAGCTGAGGGGGCCTGGATGCGCCCCCATGCTGCACCTCTCACATCTGCAGAGCCGGATGAGCACTCCAGCTCGTCCCCCTTCCCCCCCGGCCGCGAGCTATGAAGGCCACCACTGCTTTCCTGCCCTTGTCACCATGTGACCACTTACTCTTGAAGCAGTGAAGACCTAGGAGGGGCTCGGGGTCACCCAGGCTGGTGGACAACGGAGACATCACTCGAGGTTCCCATGGAGGTGTCCCTGGAGGTGCCCCGGGTGTCCCCGGAGGTGTCCCTGGAGGCCTAGGACAGATGCACAGGACCGGTCCCACAGCTGGCCACTAACCTCCCCTGCACCACAATTTCTAACTTTCGTGCTTTAAAAAGCACCTTTCCCCAGATTTGGGGAGGGCATTTGGAAGACTAACAGGTGCGGCCCCCGCACCCCACTCGCCAGGTGGCTGAGGGGCCTCGGGCCGCAGTGGAGTCAGGCCACACAGGCCAGGCCGCAGGCTGCTCCGTAAGCCGCCCGCCAGCGCAGACCCGGGCCGGCCACGCGAGCAGCCTCGGACTCGGACTCGGAGCAGAGATTCAGGGTTCCCTCCTCCGGGATGAGGTGGGTTTTGTGGTTTTGTTGTTGTTGTTTTAAATATAATAGTGGGAATTTTTAAAAAGATTTTATTTATTCATGACAGACACACAGAGAGAGAGAGAGGCAGAGACACAGCCAGAAGGAGAAGCAGGCTCCATGCAGGGACCCCAACGTGGGACTCGATCCCAGGTCTCCAGGATCACACCCTGGGCTGAAGGCAGGCACTAAATCATTGAGCCACCCGGGCTGCCCCTGGGATGAGATTTTCATGGTCAGAAAACAGCCTCAGTTTCTGAGCACCCTCTGCTGCTCTCCCATGCAGACTGGGCCTCGCTGCCCCCTGGCCCTGCACGCTGGCCCACCCCTCAGGGCCACAGGGTGGCCGCCCGGCCAGGCTCAGGCATTGCCAGCCATCAGGTGACAACCTGCCTTCTCCACAACGAGTTTGATCTTTCAGTAATTCAGAGTCCAAAAGAGGATCCTTAAGACTCCACACTGACGATAGTAGAGAAATGACTCTTCCACGGCCCTGAGAAGGCTGTGGTTGGTTTGTCCCCCTCCCCACTGCCCGCCAGCCGCCCAGGGGCTCCCACTGATTGACAGAGACTCTCTGGTCCAGCCTGCTAGCCCCGTGGCTGCGAAGTGTGGGACTTGGGCCTGGGCCATTCCCTCTGTCCGTTAGGCCCCCCTGTCGGTCAGCTCCCAGCAGAGGCAGGGTTACTAAATGTGGGATGTGTCCCCTCATGTCTGTACTACCACCTTCTGGGTCTCTGGGTTCCCAGGAGGGTATCGAGAGTGACTATGCAACTTTCATTTTTGGTCCTTATTGTTTCTTCTCTCTCTTTTTTTTTTTTTTTACAATTTTATTTAGTTATTCCTGAGACACACACACACACACACACACACACACACACACACACACACGGGGGGGGGGGGCAGAGGGAGAAGCAGGCTCCATGCAGGGAGCCTGAGGTGGGACTTGACCCCGGGACTCCAGGATCACGCCCTGAGCCAAAGGCAGATGCTGAACCACTGAGCCACCCAGGTGCCCCTGTTTCTTTTTTTTTTTTTCTTACATAAGTAAGACATGAATACAGTGTTTCATTTGTTTCAAATACTATAGGAGACTACAGAGCAATGCTGAAACCCGGCACCATCCCTCCCATGGCCACTTTCCTCCCCAGAGGCCACACTGCCCACCACTTGCAAGGTCTCTTTCTAGGCACTGATGTCATATGTAGTACATGGATCCATGCACCTATGTCTCTTTTTATTTCTCATTTTATAGATATTATTTTGCAACTTTTAAGACTTGATTTTACCTTGGTTTTTCACTTGGAAACCTTTCACGTTATGCTGTATGGACGGGGGAGCTCATCCACATACATGCATACACATCACACACGCTCGCATAGATACCCTCATAGCCTACATTGTGACCTTCACACAGAAGATACTGTCCTGCATACGTGATTCTGCAGTTTGATTTTTCAGACCCTAGAAAACTCAGCACAGACATAGCTCCCTCATTATTAACAGCTGCATCCTGTTCCATCATTTGGATGCGCCAAAATGTATTAACCAGAAGCCCACTGAAGAACATTCTTACTCCATACATACCTGTCACCTGTCTTCGGTGGAGCCTCACGGTGGAGGAATCATGAAACCAGCGAGTTGCTGTGTGGAGACAGGACGCAGGGCCCAAGCGGGTGGAGGGAGGGCCCCTGGACAGCTGTTTCCACTTGATTCACCTGGAGATTTTGCTCTATATTTCCTGTCAGCTCAGATCTTTATTTTCCAGCTTCAGCTCCTTTCAGGTTTACCTCAAGCACCTCCGGGCCAGTCACTCCCTGTGGCGGCTCCACATGCCTGTGCCTAGCGGTTGTCTCCGGGTGGGCCCAGCTGTCCTTTCCCCCACAGGTGCTCTGTCCCTGTGATTCACTGCCTGTCAGCATCTCATCTCAGGTGGAAGGAATGGTTTTTGCAACCGGTTGCACCTGGACGTAGCCTCTACTTCCATAGAAGGCAGGTGCTGTACAATTAATTGATAATCTGAGATCAGGAATTTAAGGTTTGGATGCACTGGTAACTCCTTGACATAGGTGGTTTGCTTTCCTCTACTCCGGCCTCCCCGGGCAAACAGACCTCGGACCTCAGTTAGTTGTTAGGGTCAGTAGAGCCAAAGTAAAGTTGTGTTTCCCAAGAAAGGCTTGAAAAGGCTTTTAACTTTATTATTTTGTTTCAGCTGCTCCTATTTGGTCACAGAGTCAACTATCCACCAACTGTTTGCCTAGGAGCCTGAATTTCCTGTCATTGGGCATATAACTTTTTTTTTTTTTTAATGTTTTAGATCCCTGCTACTGAACTAGATTCTCATCTTCATTTGGCCCTCAACTCCTCCCATTCCGCTCTTTTGTGATCTTCTCCTGCCTACCCCTGCCTCCTCTCCAGCCTGGAGCCCATGCCTGGCTGTTCCAGCCACGTGTCAGAGTCTAGAGTCCCCTGTCCCTCGGGCTCTCACTGTGCCTCCTGGGCTTGCCCGGAAGCACACCCCACGTCTGTCCCTACCACCCAGGCATTCATCCTGAAGATGTGCCCCTCTTCTCCCCAAGGTCAACCCCACTGCCTGCCCTCTGTCCCCTGCCCTCAGTTCTAGTCTGTGACCTTGCTCCATCAGCCACCCTCTTTTTCACTTATATCCACCCCCCTTCAACTGCTTGCTTTCTCTTCAAAAACAAATTTTAAAAATGTCCTCAAGTCTCCCTCATACTAAAGACTTTTCTCAACCCTGCTATTTCCTTAAACTATCGCCCTATTGTCACTTCCCCTTCTGCCGAAGTTCTTTAGAGGTTAGTCTGCACTGTTTTTTCTCCACTTTCTTACTGCCAATCACTACTTTACATAAGTAACAAATGAAGCACAAAAGCAATACCCGCACATGGTACAGATTCAGTGAAGAAGGTATGGCATGGAAAATAAAGCCTTTGTCCAGGAGGGAGAGATGAACAAGCAGAGCACAGAGGATTCTTAGGGCAGGGAAACTACTCTGCATGGTGGATATAAGTCATTATGCATCTGTTCAAACCCACAGAACGTATAACATCAAGAGAAAACCCTAATGTAAACTATGGGCTTTGGGTGATTATGACTTGTTTATGGAGGTTCCCCGGTTGTAACACGCCTCACTCCGGTGGGGGATGTTGATAATGCCCAGGTTGCGCGTATGTAAGGGCAGGGAATATATGTAAGAAATCTCTGTACCTTCCACTCACTTTTTCTGTGAAATTAAAACTGCTCTTAAAAAGTAAAATATAGTTTAAGGGGCACCTGGGTGGCTCAGTCTGTTACGCTTATCTGCTTTCGGCTCAGGTCATGATCTCGGGGTCCTGGGATTGAGCCCCATGTCCTGCTCCTTGTACTGGGAGGGGTATGCTTCTGCCTCTCCCTGCCTGTGTCCACTCTCTGTCTCTGTCTCTCAAATAAATAACATCTTTTTTAAAAAAGTAAAATCTAGTTTAAAAAACACACACCTGAAATTTATATAATGTTAAATGTTAACTATACAAAAAAAAAAAAAACCTTCTGAGGAAGTATCATAAATAAAGTAGGGCTCATAGTCAACTCTGGAGGCAGAAGGTAGAGCAAACTGGCCTTTTCCCCTTACAGATGGCACAAGGAAGCACGGAAACAACCCTGATTCACACATATACATATATACACTCCACATGTGTACACACACACACACACACACACACACACACACACTCATATTGCTCCATCCCTTCCCAGCTGTATGCTCTGAGGATCTTTGAGCTGAAGGTTGACCATATCCTCAGTTGATCCCAAGTGAGCAGCTTACCAGAAGTCTTATCCTGACCTGCAAATGATGCTGGAGTAATTGACTCTCAAGCCTCGCTCTGGTATGTGGGGTGAGGTCCAAGGTGCCTAGGCCTTTGTGTTGGTTCTCCATTGCAGTGCAACAAATCACCCCAAAACGTATCCACCTAAAACAACAGGCATTCTTTTATCTCATACATTTTTTGAGAGTCAGAAAGCCAGAAACAACTGGGTGGTTCTGGCTCAGGGTCTGTCATAAGATTGCAGTTAAGACCTTGGCTGAATTGTAATCATCAGGGGGTCTGGGCAGGTTTGACTGGGTCTGGAGGATCTCCTTTCAAGATAACCTATTCAATAGCTGTTGACTAGAGACCTTGGCTCTTTACCACATGGACCCCTACACGCGGCTACTTGAGTGTCCTCACACTATAGCAGCTGGCTCCCCCTAGAGTAAGAGATCCAAGGAAGAGCAAGATAGAAGCCACATATTAAAAAAAAAAATATATATATATATATATATATATATATATATATATATAATTTATTTTAGAGAGAGAGAGAGGGAGAAAAAGGACGGAGAAGGGGAGCAGACAGAGAAGGACAAGCAGACTACACACTGAGTACAAAGCCCGATGTGGGGCTCAGTCTCATGACCCTGAGATCATGACCTGAGCCAAAATCAAGAGTCGGATACTTAACCAACTAAAGCCACCCAAGCACCCCCACAATGTCTTTTAGGACCTACTCTCAGAAGTCACATCCATCATTCCTACAACATCCTGTCGGTTAATAAATGGCAGCCCTTTCAATGCAAGAGGGGCCCACCACACAGGATACAAATTCCAGGAGGCCAGTAGCACCGAGGGCCAGCTTGGACACTGGCTCCCAAAGCTCTACAACTGTACATCTGCCCGGCCCCTCACTCCCACCGGGGCATCCTTGCTCCGCTTGGTAGACCTCAAACCGCCAACTCAACAGGGGTCACTTGTGATTTTAAGTAGTCTGCAAACTCCCCGAGTCTGCTCTCCTATCTGCAAACGGCAGGTACCTGCTATAGGGGGATATTTATTTATTGCATTATTTTGATGAGCTGCCTTGGGCAAGGAGTAACAGGAAACTGCTAAAAAAACATTTAGGCCTGGAAGGCGCTGCACCTCAGTAAAAAACATAGACGAAACTGTGTGGAACAGGAGAAGCGGCCCATCTTTGATTTCAGTGTTTTCAGCTTGGTCCGACTAAGCAAGATGAAGTTCCTATTGGCGGCTGACTGCTTCTAAGAAGTTTGCCCTGAGAGTTGGCCATGAAAACTGCAGGTTGCCCCGCCGCATGCATCTTCCCCTTCCTTCTTCCTCGAGAGCTGCAGCTTCGCTCCGGAGTCCACTCCTCCCCAGCAGAGCCCATCCCCTGGGACAAGCTGAAACCATCTCCCTCCAGCAGTTGGCCTGATCTTCTCCACAAGGAGAGTCACCCCATTCCTCTTGCTAATCTCTGGGCCCGGAATGAGCCTACGCAACCGTTCGGACCAGTGATACAAGGGGAGGCTTACTGTGGGAAAACTTCTAGCTTCCTCAGGACATTTTTGTTCACAGAGTTGAGGCATCCCACCACCAGGCCGAGGGTGAACCCATCCCAGGCCAAGGACAGGCAGATGGAGTCAAGGCCACTGAATTATGCCTGCCATAAAGCTGGCCCTATTCCTGGAGGGTTTTAAACAAAATCTATATTATAATTCAAACCAGTTTGAGTTGGGATTTTTGTTCCTTGTGGCCAAAGTCATCCTTCTAAGAAACACAAGAGTAATTAAGCAGGACAGAAATGCCCCCCTTGCCTCTGATGCAGCTACCTTGAGAAGGATGGGGGAAAGCACCCCCTGCTCTTGATGGTGAAACGGGGTAGTGGACAATAAAATCAGAGTGCCGCATGCGGTCCAGGGGAAGGCCGACTACCGGTCCCTTCCTGCTGGTCCAGAGAACTCGGCAAAGTGTTCGGGAAAGAGAGACCCTGACTGTGGGGTGGGCAAGCGAACCAGTTCCGGCCCAGGGGATATAAGGCAAGTCTGCTGGGGAAAAAGCATGGGAGGAGGAATGCCCTGCCTGTGCCCCCCTGTACCTCCCACCTTTGAACACAGGTGTACAGATGATGGCTGGACCAGCTGCAGCCACCAGGGAAGGACCCAGGAAATCCCAGAGACGCCTCCCCAGAGCCCCTGATCACTGACCCTCGGAGCCACCTTCCTGCCTCCCAACTTCGTGAGAGCCAAGGAAAATAAACCCCTAATCAAAACTAGTTTTAACTGAGTCTTCTGTTAATTTACACCTAAAACATCCAAATTGAGATATCCGGTTGGAGGCTAGGGCTATAAAAAAACACTGGGGAATTATATTCTGCGTGATGCTCTAAAATCTAAATCCATGTGCTTTCCCTCGAAGTACCCAAGAACTCCTTCAAGGAGATCCGAGGCCCAGCCCAGGGGGGAGCCCTTACCTTTCCATCTGTCTCCAGTTGCGAGGCCAAGATGGAGATGCTAACAAAATCTAACAGAGAACTGATGAGGGCTGGTTGAAGGCCGGCAGACAGGATGAAAGAGGGGGACAGGGGAGGCTAAATCCTTAGTCTGATCACTCTGTATAAACAAAAGCAGGGGCATGGGCAGGGTTGGGGGGGGCAGGGAGTGGAGTACAGACCCTCCCAGGTCAACAAGGCAGGTGCTGGAGCTCATGGGAACATACGTAGGTATGGAAGAGAGGAGGGTGCCTTCGGTTTTGTTCACACTGAGGCTAACATGCCTTAGGAACCCCCAGTGGGTCTTCTCCATAGGCCACGAGCTATCCATTCCTGAGGCTCAGGAGAAAAATCTAGATAAGAAAAATAAACTCTGTACTCATCAGCAAACAGGTGCTAGCTGGAGCCACGTGGGCAGATGACGTCTTTCAAGGAGGGTGTGGGATGGTGGTGAGTGACAGTGAGAAGACAACCAAGCCACAGGATAGACCACATGTGTGGGCAAAATTCTTGAGAAAGAATGTGAGACAGGATGCCCAGAGATACAGGAAAATGACTTTTCAAAGAAGAGAGCTTCAAGAGGGGACGGTGACCTGCAAAGGGGGCAAGTCAGGAAAAGGCCTGAAAAATGTTCATTTGTGACCAAATTTTCCCCGGCCCCATCGGCCTGTGATACACGCGAGGTCACACCGGCAGTACGAGCCACCGTTTCACACGCATCACCGGCCTGTGGCCAACCCTCTGCAGAGCCAGGACTCCCTGAAAACGAGTCCTCGCTTCCCGTTGTTTCTCTGAGGGCCTGGGAGTGGGGTGCACAGGCCCGAGCAGAGTGTCCATGTGCTGGCCCCCACACCCCCATCTGACGCCAGGGCCCCCCGCGGCCCCCCTGGCGCAGGGCCTCCGTCTCTTGCTCTGCCAAAGCCACACACCTTGGTGATGCCAAAGCAGCGGAGTATTCTTCTAACTTCTTCCCTGAGCTGGAGCTACGGCATTTTCTGAGAAAAGAAGAGGACACACCCTATTTGTCATTTGTTGGAGTTCCGTGGCTCACACAGCGCCTCAGGCCAATGCCTTCTCGGCAGGTGGCCATCCGTCCCAAGGCCTGGGAGCCAGTGCCCAGGGCTGAGCCTGGGGTGGAAGACAGTCTCCCTGTGATCCCAGTCTCTGCCCCAGGGACCCAGCCCCCCAGGGACCCTGTGTCCACTCCATCAGCTTACCAAACGCTCCCTGCACACCCACACTTTGCAGTTAGGCTGTCAGGACACCTGGCCACCCTGTGACTCAGCAGAGGGGCGTCAGCAGGATGGTAGGCAGATGAGGAGGTCAGATCGCAGCAACGGGGGGGGGGGCAGTGAGAGGTGGTGGCGAGGACTATGGAGAGCAAGCCAACAGCAAGTTTCCTGAGCCCTGGCTGTTGGCAAGGGGTAGAGCCAGGTGAGCAGGGTCAAAGGAGATGAAAGCTGGTGGTGATGATGGTTTTTAACAAGGAACAGAGTCGCAGCTGTTGAAAAAAGAGGCACAGAGAGCCACAGGGGGACCCAGACAGTGAGCAAAGAGGGAACAGCCAGGTGCAAGGTCTGCCCATGAACCCCAGGCCCCGGGGAACAGAAAACAGCACCCCTGAGGTCCCTGGAGAGACCCCGGCCCCAGGGAGAGCCCCCTAAAGGAAGGGGAGATGGGCGGAAGCCAGAGAACCGGCTCTGTGCTTCTGCAGGGGGGAGGTGACCCCGCAAGCTGCTCCAGGCACCCCGAAGCCCGGTCTGTCCGTGGCCGGGAGCTCCCTGGGGAGCTCCTCTGTGTGACTCGAACTCTAGGCTTCTCCCTCTGTCATTTGATCTTAGTGACGATCACAGCTGCATCTGGGAGTCCACCTTCTTCCCGCGGCCCAGTCCCTGATCCCCACACCCCCTCCCCAGGGTGGAGGCGCCCCTCACTGCCCCGCCCCCAGCTTCAGCGGAGAACTTCCCACAGAAAAAGATTCACTTCTAAAGGTGGGTTTTCCTTGGTGTATGTATTTAACTTACTGCGCCCCGAGGGGTCAGAAGGGCCTAGAACGGAAGGCCTAGCTGCCCAGGAGCACTGCGGCCGCACAGGCCGGAACACCACGCAGCCCCTGCTCTGTGTCTCAGGACCCTGGACGTGAATGTGGTGGCCGAGTCATTGCACCGCTGCATTCCCCAAACGGTGAAACCGAACAGCCACCATCCAAGGGTCACCCAGAAAAATACCCTCCTTGAACCCGCAGTGTGAAATGAGGGTGCATGTTGGAACGTGCTTTCATGGCAAGGCGGTGCTCAAGGGTCACAAATTCCAAGGCTGTGGCAACAGGGAAGCAAGTGTCCCCAAGGCAGGCACTGGCCGATGGCTTGTGACAAGCCAGCTGAGCTGGACACTTCCCCCTCCACCACCCCCACCCCCGCCGCTGCCACAAATGGACCTACCCGACTTCGCAGGGAGACAGGTTGCAAGACCAGATTCCTCCGCGACCTGGAGAGATTTTTTAAGGGTTGGGAACTAGCTCCCCAAGAGCAATCAGGCTGCAAACACCCCTCCACCAGGCCAGCCACCAAGCCCTGGGAGCCACGTCAAGATGGGAAGCAGAGTCACAATTTGGGTTTCACTTCCTCTAAGAGGATTTCAGTGTTTCCTGAGTGACCCTGCTTCTGCCGGAAGACGCGAGGACCCGGCGGCGAGAAGCCAGTGCGGGCTCCGTGTCCTCCCCGGTGCTGGTCTGCAGACGTGATCCCCCCCGCAGACGTGATGCCCCCCCCGCAGACGTGATGCCCCCCTGCAGACTTGATCCCCCCGCAGACGTGATGCCCCCTGCAGACGTCATGTCCCCCCGCAGACGTGATGCCCCCCCGCAGACGTGATGCCCCCCGCAGACGTGATGCCCCCCCGCAGACGTGATGCCCCCCGCAGACTTGATCCCCCCCGCAGACGTGATGCCCCCCCGCAGACGTGATGCCCCCCGCAGACTTGATGCCCCCCCGCAGACGTGATGCCCCCCCGCAGACTTGATCCCCCCCGCAGACGTGATGCCCCCCCGCAGACTTGATGCCCCCCCGCAGACGTGATGCCCCCCCGCAGACGTGATGCCCCCCCGCAGACGTGATGCCCCCCCGCAGACGTGATGCCCCCCGCAGACGTGATGCCCCCCCGCAGACGTGATGCCCCCCCGCAGACGTGATGCCCCCCCGCAGACGTCATGCCCCCCCGCAGACGTGATGCCCCCCCGCAGACTTGATCCCCCCCGCAGACGTGATGCCCCCCCGCAGACGTCATGTCCCCCCGCAGACCTGATGCCCCCCGTGACGTCATGTCCCCCCTGCAGACGTCATGCCCCCCCCGCAGACGTCATGTCCCCCCCCCCCCGGTGACTTGCCCAGGCTCTCCGCCGAAGGGCGGGCGGCGGGGGAAAGCCGCGGACCACGCCGCCTGCGGGGCAGAGCCCCGGGTCCACCCCAGCCGAGGGTGCCCGCCCTGCGCCCGCGCACGCGGAGCGGGCTCTTTAAAACTGGAGCAGGCCGCCGGCGAGCCCCGCCCCGGGGCGGCCCCGACACCCGAGCCAGCCGGCGGCCCAGCTTCCAGCCCAGCTGCCCGGGCGCCCGCGGAGCCGAGGAGCCGAGCCGGGGCGGCGGCGGTCGGCATGGCCCAGGCGTTTGTGAGCAGCAGGCTGCAGCCCGGGAAGGTGGTGGTGTTCGTCAAGCCCACCTGCCCCTACTGCCGAAGGGCCCAGGAGCTGCTCGGCGCGCTGCCCTTCAGGCCGGGGGCTCTGGAGATTGTCGACATCACGGCCGCCGGCGACACCGGCAGCATTCAAGACTATCTGGAAAAGCTCACGGGCGCCAGGACGGTGGGTCCTCCGAGGCCGGGCCCGGAGGCTCCCCCGCCCCCATTCCCTTTCCCTGTGGGGCTGAGCGGGGGATGCGCCGGGGCCCGGGGCGCTGGGGGCGGGGGGTCTCTCGGCGAGGACCCCATGGGGACGGCAGCTGGGCTGCAGCCCGGGGCGCTGGGGGGTCTCCCGGCGAGGACCCCAATGGGGACGGCAGCTGGGCTGCAGCCCGGGCGCTGGGGGGTCTCCCGGCGAGGACCCCAATGGGGACGGCAGCTGGGCTGCAGCCCGGGGCGCTGGGGGGTCTCTCGGCGAGGACCCCAATGGGGACGGCAGCTGGGCTGCAGCCGGGGCGCTGGGGGGTCTCTCGGCGAGGACCCCAATGGGGACGGCAGCTGGGCTGCAGCCCGGGGCGCTGGGGGGTCTCCGGCGAGGACCCCAATGGGGACGGCAGCTGGGCTGCAGCCCGGGGCGCTGGGTGGGTCTCTCGGCGAGGACCCCAATGGGGACGGCAGCTGGGCTGCAGCCCGGAGCGGCGGACCCGGTGCGGTGCGTCAGGCTCGCGGCCCCAGCGCTGTCCCCGCGGCTTGAGCCCCCGCCGGCCTTTGTTTCAAGCGCTGCCGGGAAATGACAGTTTGCAGCTTGCGGCCGGGTGGGAAGTGGGGCGCGGGGGCAAGTGTGACCTGCGCGTTGAACGCCCTCTCTCCCGTGTCCATCCGGCCGAGGGGGACTTGCCGGCCTTCGGTCTTTCCTCTAAGCGCCCTTTAACCACAACGCCCTTAGTTCCCTCTTCCCTATCTTAACTCACTCCGTCCCCTGGAAAGACCCTAAAGGGTCACGATTTGCTCCTTCTTCCATGTTACAGATGTTTCCAGGCCCGCCCTGGTAGGGAGTTCAGGGGCCAGAGTCCCAGCCTGGATTTCACAATGGCTTGCAACGTGATCTTGGGCCAGGCGCCACCTCAGGGATCCTCAAGGACCTTTGGCCACCAGACCCGACAGGCAGGGGACCTCCAAGTCCCCTTGGCTCCCATAGATTGTGAGGCCCTCTAGGAACTGCTTTTCTCTACTGGAAAGGCTTCCTCTTCCTCAGCACCCCCAGCTTCTGGGGGGTATGGCCAGATCTGGCACCGGGTGGGGTAGGGGCCACGGGCCCCCCCCACCCCAGCCCCCTTCAGGATGCGCGTCCTCTTGGACACTGTGTCTGCAGAAGCACATTACCTGCTTCAGTTGGACTCCCAGGCTTTTATCTGGGTTCTGAGCAGGAAGCACGGGGCAGGGCGGGGGGGGGGGGGGGGGGGTTCTCCGCGCCTCTCCTCAGCCATCAGTCTGTTGGCACAGAGGGAGGCTACACCTGTTGCCCTGTTGCTCCCGGGGCCCCCGCTGTGAGCTGAGGACTCCTGGGCCTGAGCGAGAGGTCCTGCAGCAGAGGCCATCGTGGTTAGAGACGCCAGCTGCTTAGGGACCAGCTGGGCGGGCTGCCCCGGGCCTGCGAGCCAGAGAGCAGCGCCAGCACTGCCCGGACCCCGTGACGGGTGCGTGCCTCACGGCGTTTCCCAGATGTTGCTGCACGGTGGCATCACACGAAGAGCGCTGTAAAAACTCCGGCTGCCCAGGTCACTCCCCTCACCAGTTCAGCCACACGTTGGAGGTGGGAGCCAGGCATCAATAGTTGTGAAGACCCCCACACTGAAGGGTACAAGGTCTGTCCCAGAGATGGGGAAGTTCTGAGGATCTCGTGGGCAACGTGAGGACTGTCGTTAATAAATACTGTCCTGTATGCTTGCGGTTTGCTGCGGGAGACCGAAGTGTTCTCACCACACACATAAAAAGTTAACTATGTGCGGTGGTGGACGTGTTAATTAACTTGATCGCGGTGATCATTTCACAATGTGCATGTATTACCAAACCATAATGTTGTAGACCTTAAATATCTACAAACTTAGTTGTTCATTATACCCAATAAGGCTGGAAAAAATAATTTTTTTCCTACCAAGGGGGGCAAAAAAATTCCAACATCCAACAAATCTTGAGAGCCGCTTGTCAGCCTAGCAGCATCTTTTTAGCAGGAGAAACCTCTTCCTGCATTCGACACATTGTTTTTCCCTATTTCTTCATAAAGCAACAATTTGTCTTGTAGTCTTTTAAGTCTGTTTTTGAATTTTTAAAAGGGCCTTCCATGGGTTCCGGGGTCCTGAATGCATTCCTCCAAAGGGGAGAACAGATCCTTTTACGGTGTGTGCTTTACGTTCCCTCACAAGGAAGGGTTTATACCTGAAGAGACTAGACACTTGGAAGTCGTTGCTGTGTTCCTTTCCCTGTGATGACCTCCGGCGACGGGCACACAGTAGGAGCCCAGCAGGACCTGACTGATGCCCGGAGCCCATGTCTTCAATCAGGCCGTGTACTTGAAGAAAGTGTTTGGGGTTTGCTCTGGCCAAAGCTCCTGGCTCAGCATCTTCATTTATTCTTTCTCTCATGCTCTTCCTTTCTTCAAGTAGATCCGAGTTTCTGACCTGTAACCTTTTCCTTCCCTCTAAAGAACTCCTGTGAACATTTCTTGCAAGGCAGCTCTACTGGCAACAAGGTTCCCCCATTTTTGCTTATGTGAGAAGGTATCTCTCCTTCACTTCTGAAGGTTAGTTTTGTTGGATGCAGCAGTTTTTTAAGCACCAACTACATATAGCGGCACTTTTCTGGCCATTGGGAAAGTGCCAGGAACAGAACAAACAAAAACTCCTGCCTTTGTGAAACTTGCATTCTAGTAATCACAAGAAGTAATAAAACAGTTTGTTGGAAGGTGGCCAGTGTAAGCACTGCTCTGGGTAGGAAAGGGAGGTGGACAGTAGGCATCAAGGTACAGTTTTAAGCAGAGCCATCAGGGCCTCGTTGATTTTAGTAGGTCTCTAAGGGAGGTGAGAGGGCCATGCATGCAGAAATTTAGCGGCAGAGTATTCCAGGGAGTGGGAAGAGCAGGTGCAGAGGTCCTGTCATAGAAACATGCCTGGCAAGGAGGCCTGTGTGGCTGGAGCCCTGTGAGTCAGGAGGAAAGGAGGAGGAGATGAGGCAGTGGGGTGTAGCCGGGAAGGCTTTTCAGGCTGTCCCAAGGACTGTGGCTTCGGAAGTGCAACGAGATCCCACTAAAGAGTTGTGAGAGGGGGAGTAACCCAACCTGAGTTTTGAAAGCGTGGGTCTGTGGGGGAAAGTGAGCGCAGGAAGGCCAGCCTGGAGCTGGGAGACATCTGGAGGCTCTAGCAGTTACTCAGATGGAAACTGCTGGTGGCAGCACCCGGGGCATTGCCAGGGAGGTGGTGAAGAGTCTGGGAAGCAGCGGGGTCTGTCTCCAGGCACCTGGAGCCGGGCTGGGGAGGGGCAAGGTGCACCAGGGAAGTCCAGGCCCCAGGGTCCTGCAGCTTGTTTGAATGGTGGCAGTTGTCTCTCTGCTGCTTGATAGGAAGAGGCGCTCAAGTTCCTGGAAGAGGGGGCTGGGGCTTGCAGGGGAGCCCCCAGAGCACGGGTGTCTTCACCTTCCTCAGCAGATAGCAGCCGGGTCACCACAGCTTCCCACACTGGCACGTGCAGCCTGGAGCCCAGCCCCTGTCGCAGGTCCCAGTAACTGCTGTGCTTTAAGTGGTTGCGCTGTGGCCTCCCCTGGGGGGTGGGCGTAAGGACAGGGGGGCCTCTGGGCTCGCAGGCAGACCAGCTGCTTTGCCAGGTGGGGCCTACAGTGAGGACCACTTGCTCCTCGGGGCCTCCTTCCAACGGGTTCAAACGGTCTCGGCCAACAGCCCCGTCGGAGGTGGGGATGTGGCAAGTGGGAGGCATAGTGACAACCGCTCCGCTCTTTTTGAAAATGTAGAAGTTCAAGAGTGACTGCATCTGCTTGTTTAAAGCTCACATGATTTCGGGGCGCCTGGGTGGCTCAGTCGGTGAGGTGTCTGACTCTTGGTTTCAGCTCAGGTCATGATCTCAGGTTCATGAGGCTGAGGCCTGCGCCGGGCTCCACGTTCAGTGCAGGGTCCACCTGAGATTCCTCTCCTCCTCCCTTTCCCTCCCCCTCAGCTTCTCCCCCTACTCCTGTGTGAGTGCCAGCACGCATGCTCCCTCGCTCCCTCTCTCCCTCAAATAAGTAAAGCTCAGATGATTTCTATTTCATCAGGCAATGCCTCTGAAGAAGGAGCTCCGCAGTACAGTGACATTACAATTACACCGGGGCTCTGTTGCAGTTGCTGCTACCCCGACCACCGCCTTGTGTTCCAAGGGTGACAAAAGCCAAAAGATCCCCAATAATTTGGAGCAGTGGGAGCTTCGGGTTTTCTAAAATAATGGACAGGACCCAAAGGAAAACTTAGATTTCTGCCCTCATCTTCCCATAGCTGTTCCGTCTGCTGATAAAAATACGTTGCCTTGCTGGGTTTCCCACTCAGGAAGTGGCCACAGGGCCCCGGTGGCGAGTGGAGCAGGCGCTGCTGTCTGGGACTGGAGAGGACATCGGTGCGCTTCGTCACTGGGATGCAGTTCGGTGTGCTCATGCCCAGTCTCCAGGCACAGGAAGTAGCCCTGGAAACATAGTGCAGGTTCTTTTACTATTTGGCCTTGATTTGTAAAGCTCACTCCCACCCAGAACCCCTTCTTAATAAAATCACTGTAAAAACTTACCTGAAGTAGTGATTCAGCCCTCTTCCTCATCTCCCTCATGTTTTAAAAAATTCACTTGACTTGTTATGCCTTTTTGAGGAAAATCAAGAGCTTTGAAGGTACTTTCACTGCCCTCTGTCTTTCATCTCTCCTGCCAGTTCTGGTAGGTTCCTAGGGTTCAGGAAGAGGGCCTGCTGGCTTCTGACAGTCAGGTGACCTGTCCTGCGCTTGTTTCTTCACTGCCTGTCAGCTTTTCTTTACAAGTTAGCTTGGAAGTGGTCTGGGCCACCGTGAGAGGACTTCCTCCTCCCTTGGGATTCTAAAAACACTCTGGAAGCACCACGGAGGGAGCCCGAGTGTGACCGGGGACGATCGCATTTGGCAAGTGTAATGACTCTGCCGGCCTGGCCTGCCTCGGGTGACCCACACGTGCCAGGGGTGAAACCAAAGCAGCCTTCCGTCCCGGAGCTATAGCACTTGAACATATTATGATAGGCCGGAGACAGAAAACGGGGGAGCCCGATACCCCCCCTCCCCAGCTGAGGACAGAGCTCACAACAGAGACAGATGACTCTGACGGACTGGAAATCTTACAGTCAGGGGCTGGGACCTGATGCAGATGCTTTTCTAGCTGTGTTGAGAAACCAACTCCTTCCCGGTTGTCATGGCTCAGCGTCAGGGCTCCGGTGTGGTTCCAGCTACAGAGAAACCAGAATGCAACCAGGGTGGTCTAGCTGCAGCAACCAAAATTCTTTCCCTGAACTGTGTTTCTCGAGAACGAAAATTTTAAGGTATGTTGACAAGTTAGACCATCTCAACGCACAGCATCCTCCACATGAAGAACATCGTGGCCTAGGAACATTCTTTGGTGAATAATTTTACGATTACAGCAAAGTTCCGACCTGAAAGAATATGCAAGAGGAGGTTGTAAAGCGATTTTTAAAAGCTTTGGAATCGCGGGGAACTTTTAAAGGAAGGGAAAAAAAATGTCATTCTTTCTAACCTAATAGTGACGCTCCTTACCCATCTCGGTTTGCTTGCTTTTTTAGGTGCCTCGGGTCTTTATCGGAAGAGACTGTATCGGTGGCTGCAGCGATCTGATAGAAATGAATCAGAGTGGGGAACTGTGCAAGAGGCTACAGCAGATTGGAGCTCTGCAATAATTACAGGTGAGAGAAGGGTGGGGTGCCGGCCAGGGACACCGGGAGATGACAGAGTTATCCTGGATTTTATTACCCTCCAGAAAGGCAGTTCAGCTAGAGAAAGAGTGATGTGGGGTGACTTAAAGAACTGTGATGTCATTTATGAGTTTCCTATTTTGCAAAGAGATTGTGTGGACAGGAGGAAATCCTTTCACTCGACCTTCATTTCACAGATGCTTACTGAGCACTTACTATGTGCACACATTGTGTGAGGGACGGAGAGTAGAGGGATGAGCCAAATGCTAACACGGAACCTCTGTTCTAGAGAGGTGGACCCACCAAAACCAAGTAAGCAAATAATTCCTGAAACAAATTAACAGAATAACGTGATGGAACAAGGCAGGGGGTAGGAGGAAATGTAGCTAATAGGGTGAAGGAAGGCCTTTCTCAGCTGGCGGAGCTGGGACCTGCTTGATAAGGAGCAGCCATGTAAAGATAAGGCCAAAAAGCTTTTAGGGCCAGGGAAACAGCAGGTGCGAAGGCCCTGAGCTGACAAGTATGGACTATCCAGGGAACAGAAAGCAAGAACAGACTGAGTGAAGTGCAATGAGAAGGAAGAGTAGCAAGAGATGGGGGCAGGCACCAGGGCGCACAGGCCATGGTAAATAATTAGGATTATTCTAAACACAGTGTGGAAAACGAGGTAATTTGGCATTACCTGTGTTTACACTGCAAATCAGTTCAATCTGATCGGCTTCCCAAATGTCAGAACAAAGTTTCTTACAGTTGCCACTCAAAGGAGACCCTTGGCTGAATGGAAAGCCATGGGGTGATGAACTCTTCAAAACAGAACCGGGGTACTTTTGGGGTCTTGCCCCAGCTCTTGTTACTGTTCACTAGATGCTAAGTAGGCCAGTTCCACTGACTCACAAGCAGAGAGAGACTCAGTGTTTTTTTTGTTTTTTTTTTTTAAGTCAAAGGAGACTTTGACCAATGTATGGTTCATAGACCGAAATATCTTTGGGGGGTATTTATTGCCCGTGAATTAATAATTTACCCTTGAGCAATGTGTGTGTGTAATTTGTTGTGGTCACTCAAAATAGCAACAGAAGTCAAAAAAAAAAAATGAGTACCTTGAAATGAAGTAGTCAGTTTTAGGAAGCTCCTAATCACAATTCTACAACGTCCTCGCAGCAAGTGAACACTACGTCTGCTTGTGTAGCTTTCTGGCCTCGCCCCACATATCCGAGCACTCAAACCCCAATTAACTGTGGTGCTAAATGTTTCCTATTCTGGAACACTTTGGAGCAATTTAGGCTTAGAGTAAAAATGGAAGAAAACTAATGACTTTGCTGGGAAGATATGAAAGACCATTTCCCCAACTACATCTGTATTGGGGGGGGGGGCCTTAGCACTCCCCTTATTCACAAGGTCTATTTGCATTGTCCTCCAGCATTCTAGGATCTCAGTATTTTACTGCCAACTGTAGCTCAGGGCCATTTGTAACAGAATGTGCTTAAAAGGCAAGAGTAAGTGTTGTGGTAATGGGAAAAAAAAATGAGGGGAATTTACCTTTCCAAGAAAATCCACTTGTTTGACTTTTGTTTCCCTGGCAGAGCAGACCCCAGGATGATATCCCCCTGAGAGCTGGATGGCATTTCAAATGATAACCACACTTCCTGGCGGATGGATCCGGGGCTAACAGCCACAGCAACCAACTGTTTATTTAAAATTCTGAAATATGTTAACCAAAAAAAAAAGGGGGGGGGGAGTGATGGGGCTTTGGGCACAAATAGCTTTTTGTTCTTTTGATTCAGTATTAAAAGTAGACCAACTTGCCCCAAACCACAGGTCTGAGAAAGTTGATGGGTATCTTATGTTTCTTCTCGATTGGCCCTTTGGGTTCCAAAAGACCATGACAAGCTATGGCTTGGGATTCACTCAGTGACCCAAAAGGTGTCCTTTCTCTTTAGCACGTGTCTCTTCGTGACCGCTCTCCATATGCTAGGACTCTTCTACCTCAGAGCCAGTGTTTCTCAACCAAGTTTATCCCAAGTTGATCAAGTTTAGGATGAATCTGTAACTGGTTTTCTGTTACTGCCTGAAAGTTACTTTGTTGAATTTGACTTTATAGAATTTGCATCATGAAAGCAACTGGTATTTTGATATGCTTTTTCAAGCTACATGTTTCTCCCCAGTCATGATCCCCACCCCACTCCACCCTATCTTGAGAATCATTGCTCTGAATCAGTGTTCTTAACCTAGACAACTCAGAGAGCTCCTAGGAAATGTTCAACAATTCCAGGAAGGGTCTAGAGGACCCAATTTGAGAAACACCACATGAAAAATTAAGCGCAGTTGGTCTTCACTTGGTGCCACAGAGACAGGGGTATAAGCACAGCTGCTGCCTTCATGGGGCATCTCTCTTATGCACGGTGGTCATCCAGGTAATCCTCAATAAGTGTGTCTTAACTTGTTTAAATCATGAACAAAAGTAAAATACAACATCTAAAATGTTATCACAGAAAACTTGCAAACCCCTCTCCTTAGAATACGTCTATGAAAGTGGCCATACTTGAGAGGCGTGGTCCTAAATGATTTTCTCTCTCTCTCTCTCCTTTTTCCCCCTTCACTCTTATGGTGCAGTTTGTTCTAGAAATGCAATATTAATTTTGCTGTTCCTAATGTGAATGGTTAAATGATGGTGATTTTTGTCTATTACTTTTCTATATCCTCAATACCTTAAGGAATCATGTTAATGTGAAGTACACCGCATTCAAACTGTATTCAGTCCCCGACCATTATAAATAAAGGCACATGCTATTGTCCTTCACTGAGTACAAATGGGTCGTGTGATTTTTAAATTTCTTATTGAAATGACAATTTGACTATGTCAACACTAACCTAATGAATAATGTTTAGAATCAATAACAGTTTCATTTCACATTCTGTTTTTCCCTTTCTTGACCTAATACCCTTCAACCAGGTTGCTGTGGATGATTGTGCAGGTTATGAACTGCACAACACTGGGGCTGCCCCCTGGAGGTTGTGCAGTAGGCAACCTGCACAGTGTGTAATCCCCTCCAGACCGTTTGCCCACACTTTCACATTTCGTCCTGAGACACCCTGTCTTCACCTTTGATTTACTTCCAAAATTCTCCTTTAAGGCCTGATTTACAGACTATCTCCCCTGTACCTCCTCTCTCATCTCACTACCTTTTGGCAAAAAAAAAAAAAAAAAAAAAAAAAAAAAAAAAGCCATTGCTCTCTGTGTCCTAAAGCACTCCACATATAGGTACTTCAAAACTCTCATAGCGGGGATCCCTGGGTGGCTCAGGGGTTTAGCACCTGCCTTCAGCCCAGGGTGTGACCCTGGAGACCCAGGATCGAGTCCCTCGTCAGACTCCCTGCAGGGAGCCTGCTTCTCCCTCTGCCTGTGTCTCTGCCTCTCTCTCTCCCTCTCTCTTTCATGAATAGACATTAAAAAAAAAAAAAAAACCCTCTCATAGGGCTGAACTGCCATGAATGCTCTGTTCTGTTCTCTCTCTTGCCAGATTCAGAAATACTCAAAGGCAAGAGTCTCCACCTAAACATCCTGTGTGCCCAGTTTCTAGCACAGACGATCTCTTTCATCAAAGCCATACAGGCACGAGGCTTAAGATGTCAAACAATACTGGACGCCCTTCCTTCTCCGCCCATCCCAAAGCCCTGTTTTGACCACACATGGATCAGTTCCGTTGGAGCCTAGTTAGAAACATGCCTGAGTGCGTAGACCGCACAGTTCTGGGTAAACTATCAGCCACACGTCTGGCTCCCAGGCTGAGGAATGAAGCGCCTGTGGAACCGAGGCCCTCCCGGGGACTGATGAGGCACCAGACGCCCATGTGCCCCTCCCGAGGTACAGGTACCCCCTCCCCGCCTCCGCAGAGGGGGTCACTAGCTCACTTCTGCTGTAATGGTGCTGGGGCTTCTCTATAGTTTCACGCCCTAAATATCCCTCAGCAACACATTTTAGTTTTGAAAAGCGTTAGCAAACACAGCCGGGCCGGGTAGGGCAAGGGCGGGGTCCCCCCATCAGGTGAACGGGCCCTGGGGAGGACAGTGGGCCTCGAGCTCCCTGGCGGTACCCGAGGGGTGGCCCCGAGTGCGTGCCGGGGAAAGCGCCCGTGGGAACGAGGACTGGGCATCCCGGGGAAACAGAGTCAAGGGAAGTGGGCCGCTGCGCCTTTTCTCCGGTCCACCTCCAGCTCCGGGGGGCACCAAAGCACACTGCCCTGGGGGGGGCCTCAGTCAGCAGGTGTGGTGGGAAGAATGAAAGGGTCACCCGCACAAGGCACCCTCAGGTGACCGTGTGCTGCGGGCTCTTCTGGGCTCTCCGCTCAAGTCACGGAAACGAAGGACAGGCGACACTGGAGAGCCCTCCACGGCCCCGCTCTGGGCCGCCGCCTCTCGGGCCTGGCCCGGCTCGCTTCACTGTCCCCCGAGTACTTGGTTTCTCTCCTGGGCTCGAGCTCCTGTTTCCCCCTTGCCATATGTCTTTTTTTTTTTTTAATTTAAAGATTTTATTTATTTATTCATGAGAGACACAGAGAAAGAGGCAGAGACACAGGCAGAGAGAGAAGCAGGCTCCCCACAAGGAGCCCGATGTGGGACTCGATCCCGGGACCCCAGGATCATGACCTGGGGTCCCGGGATCGAAGGCAGATGCTCAACCCTGAGCCACCCAGGTGCCCTCCATACATATTTCTTACAGCTAATCTGCTTTACCAAAGACGTCACACTAGGGTGGAAGCTTGTTTCTCTCTCTGCCGACAGGCGAGAGGCAGGCCGGAAGCTTTGCTCCACCGAGTCACAGTCAGCCCAAGGGTTATAGGCACCACTTCTGCTCACAGCCCATCGGCCAGAACTCGGTCTAGGCCCCCAGGGAGCTGCAATGGGTCCCCACTGGGAAGGCCCGTGCCGAGCTAAAACTCCCAGAGGTCTACACCTAAGGAAAGGGGAGCATGGAAATGAAAGTGAGCAGACTGTACCTTTGTCTTTCTTTAGCCTTCTTTTTTATTCCAGAAGACCATATATACTCCATGGCTTTTAAGAAAGCATGGAAGGTATGTTTTTTTGAAATCTGGCTTGTCTAACAATGTTTTTTAGCTTACCCTCATATTGACTCCGAGTTCCCCTGTCGATAGCTTCTAATTGGAAATCGTTTTCCTCCAGAAGTTTGAAGACACTGCCCGTTGTCTAGTTTTCAGTGCTGCTGTTAGGTCTGAGGCCATTCTGATTCAGTCTTTGGTAGAGGACCTGTTTGGTTTTCTTATTTGTTTGATACTCTGGAAGGTTATCAAATCTTCCCTTTAAGCCCCATGCTCTGAAATATGACAGCGATACGCCTTGGTGAGGGTCTAGTTCTTCTCATATGTTTTGGGACCACATGGAAACTTGGAGGGTCCAGAGGCAGTTTTATTGGGTTATTTTATACTTTCCTCCCCTCCATTTTTCTCTGTGTTCTCTTTCTGGAACTCATAGTAGTCAAATATTGCTTTTCCTGGACTTGCCCTTTAATTTTTGTTCTATTTCCTCTTGTTTGTTTGTTTGTTTGTTTTCCCGGAGGGAATTACTCATCCTTATCTTCATATTTTTCTAGTGAGTTTTTCATTTCTGACATCAGGTTCTTAACTGCCAACAGCTCTCCAGTGTTATCTGAATGTTCCTTTTTTATAGAATTGTCTTAGTTCCATGAGTGCAATAGCTTATCTGAGATTATTGTGATTTTTTACCTTTTTTACCGAGTTTTTTCCAACTATGATTTTTTTTATTTCCCAGAGTTCTTCTTAGTTGTGTTTTTTGTTCTTGTTTTTTACTTTTTTCTCTTGTTCTGGTTTTATAAATCCAAACACCTTTTTTTTTTTTAATCTCTCAAAGATACTAATTACACTTGGAGCTTTTCTAAAAGCTGTATTCTCAGTCCTGCATTATCTCTGGTCTCCCTGAGTCCCTATTTTCTATTTCTGCTTTATATTTGAAGGCCATTCTGTGCCCTGCCTGAACATTTGAGATCTGGCTGTTGGCACCTATTTAAGCATGAGGTTAGAAGGCTTGTGGGCAGGGCAGCCCGGGGGGCTCAGTGGTTTAGCGCTGCCTTCAGCCCAGGGCCTGATCCTGGGGACCCGGGGTCAAGTCCCATGTCAGGCTCCTTGTGTGGAGCCTGCTTCTCCCTCTGCCTGTGTCTCTGCCTCTCTCTCTCTCTCTCTCTCTCTCTCTCTCTGTGTGTGTGTGTCTCTCATAAATAAATAAATAAAATCTTAAAAAAAAAAAAAGACTTGTGTGTGTGGATTGGGCTCATCAACTGGTGACCTTCACCACAGTCTTTGTGAGAAAGTTACCTTTGCAACAAGGCCTCCCACCTGACATTCCCTATCCCTCTTCCTTATTTTTCTTTAGAGCAGTCATCACTTAATTCAGCATGTGATTTATTTCGTGTGCTGTCCATCTTCACTAAAATGAAGCCAGGGATTTGTGTCTGTGTATTCACTGCTGTATCTGCAGCACTAAGACTGGTTGCACACGGTAGGCATTGGATAAATAGCTCTTAGATGTCTGCATGAATAAATGAATGAGTGATTAGGTGAAGATCCCCCAGAGGTCCGTTCCTGGATGTTTTTAAGCCAGTGAGTCTCCCCAGTGTCACGGCGGGGGTTGGGGGACCCTATAGCCGGGTTCTGGCTGCTGAGCAGGGGAAAGGGACAGGCCAGCCTGGGGGTGCGCGGTCTCTCCCGTCATCTCCTCTGGCCGTCAGCTCCCTGCTGGGCAACCCTGCATGATGTGCAGGCGTGGAAAGGGGTGTCACCCGGAGGGCGCCAAGAGCTTGGCACCAGCTGTGGGCAGAGGAAGCAACAAGGATAACCAGGCAAAAAAGTCACAGTCAAAGCTCTACACCCTGTTTACTTTAAAAAGAAAGTGATTCAACCTCTTGCACGTGTGTTGTTTTACTAACTGCAGCCATAGGTCCATGGCTTCCATTCTGCCCCCCCTGGGGGGGGGGGCGGGGACACCTACCAGCGAGTTCTTCCAAGTTCAAGGCTGTCCAAAGATGGCCCTAAGGGGAAATAACACCTAGGCTGATAAATGGGTCAGCGTGCCCCCAGTCATGCTATTTATATCCCAGGTGAGTATTATTAGACCATGATCTTAACATTTGGTTGTAAGAGAAAGCCACGTTCCCCAAGTCACTGTACCCTTGCAAATGTTAGCAGGTCCTGGGAAATCTGTTAAAGAACCGGCCTCCCAAAATATTTTAAGTACGATTTCTTTCTTATATTAATAGCAGTCTTTTCTTATTAAATACACTAAACATTTGAAAGGGTAAAATGTAATTAATGGAATTCTAGTTTAACAGGTGATACTTAAACATAGGTCTAAAAATAAACAGACAAACAAATAAATAAAATAAACAGAGGTCTATATTTACACACAAATTTATATTTGCTGTCCCCAGGTGACTTTTCTGGTGAGCTGTGCAAAGCTGAGGTGGGAGGAGAGAGGCAGGGGTATTAGGGGAACCAATGGAAGTGCAGAACTATGTGTCACCTTTCTGGGGTTGCACCTAGCATAACTGGGGTTTGATGCCTCTGGTTCTTTCTGTCCAGTCAAGGTCCTCCCTCCCTGCTAGCAGGGCTGTAGCCTCTGGGTGCCTGCAGCTGAGCTTTCTCAGGAAAGAGCAAAACAACTGCCTTCTCGATTTTCTCTTGTGTGGCTTGTGTGAAACTTGGAATATTTTATAAGTACAATTACAGGCTGTATTTAAGTGAGGCTTTTCTACGCCTTTCCTTATTATTC